GTCAACAAAGAAACACCCCATCCATCAATTAACAAATCTACAAAAACAAAACAAAAATAAACAAACAAGATAAATAAATAAATAATACAGGTACCACTCAGCCCTTTGTTTACACAATCACTGCAAATCACTTTTCCATACGAGCTTTCTTGCACCTCACGTGTTTCGGTACTCGGCCCAGAAGCCCAGTGGGGTTGAATATTTTAGTTGTGTGAATGTCCAGTTCTATTGGTGGTTGCAAATGCTGTGAGATGGCCTGTTGTTTAGTTCTGTGAGACTGGGAGTGGGGGAGCATGTTGTAGAACCAGGAGGCATGGTTGTAGAAACATCAGGAGCATGTTGGTAGAACCAGGGGAGGAGCATGAGTGTAGGAAACAGGAGGAGCGTATTTGAGGATGGCTGGAGATACTCTTGATTACAGTTAGTAAGGAGAAATACTTTGATGACAGTAGTGAGGAGAAGATAAGGAAACATAAACAAGGTTTGGAGTTTTGCTGGGCATCCTTCTGAAGATGTCAGTGGTGTGTTGGTTTGAAACTCGTTTATTGTCCAGTGTTACTTCCAAGGTATTTAACAAACTGTTTAATTATTGATAGTTGAAGGGGTTGATGTGGTGTCGCGGGAAGCAGATGATGATTCATTGATATATTAATAAATTTATAATACTTATCATCGTATTCTATATAAATAAATACAATACATCTATAAAATCATACAAAATAAGCAGAAATAGTAACAGGTGCATCAATTAGGACAGACGTGTTATAAGTCTGAGGTCTTACTGTCCCGTTGAGGTGGCACTGATGGGAGGAGGCGCGTGCTGAAGTACGCGGTGCTGCAGGGAGTCCTTGCCGAGATCCGGTCTGTAGGGACCCCCTTTACATCTCTGGACCAGATCCTCGGTCTTATAGGGCAGTTGTTCAAACCTGATATCCACATCAAGGAGGGAAATGATCAACATGCTCCGTGCCTTAAACCAATAAGCATACCTCCGGGCTCCATAATACAGACTAATATAAATATTATAAACACTTAAAATAATATATTGTATATTTATATATCTCTACGACACACTGGCACAGCAGAGGAGCACCTTCAGCAAAGACTCCTTCTCACCCAGATGCACCCACCAGAACGCACAGAGAATTATCCTGCCTTGTTGTCATTAAAACTTACAAGCTCTCTTGGAGAGTCAGACCACCTCCCAGCTAATATGTCTTAAACACGAGAAAATCATTGGGAAAAAAAAATCTTTTTTTTGCACTTTTGCACATTAATTTAACTTGTACATTTTTTATCTTTAATATATTATTATATAGTTATATATATTTTCATCATAACAATGTTCTTAATATTTGTTGTTTGGTTATCTGGAGTTTGTAACAAAAATAATTTCCCCCTGGGATTATTAAAGTATTTCTGATTCTGATTTCTGATTCTTGATTATGTATAATATATATATACTACTATATAATTAATCACATTCCACCTTTTCCAAAACGGTCCTTGAACTGTGTTCGGCTCAGAGCGGAACAAATCGCTCTGTGTGGAGAGAAAGAAAGACGTTAAAGCTAACTGAAACAACAACAGGTGATATGAACCAGTCTAAATAAAACAGCAACAACAACAACAACAACAACAACATAATAATAATACAATAATAACTAATAACATAAAATGATATTATTGAATTTAATAAACAAAACTGAAGGAATATTAAATACTACAATTATTAAGATATAAAATAATTAAATCAAATCAATATACATGATTTGATTGATTGGGGAGGACTTATTGGATCGCTATAAATTGATTATTTTAAAGCTGTTTAACGGTTTGTCAGCGTGTCACTTCCTGCCTCCCTCCTCGCTGGTGATTTGGCTGTTGGGAAGGGAAGTGGCGAAGTCACCTTTCACCTGGTCTGAGTTTGGGCAAGCTGGCTGACTCCAGGCCAGCTGTGTTCAGAGGGGACGCCGCGGACCTGCAGGGCGGTCAATTAGATCAATAGATAGATATCTTCTACATTTCTGTTCCTTCATTATTTAATTTCATCTATTTAGGTTATTAATTGATTCTATTCATATAATAATGACACTGCTTTTGTCTCCGTATACATCAAACAACACAAACGACTTGCAGTAAGGGCGTCCTGGAAATCTTTTAAATGTGAACACTGTCGCCAGGAACACTGGGTGAAAACACAGATAGAGCTCGCTCGCAGAACTAGGGTCACTGATAACCACCATGCAATAAAAGTATAGAACTGAGAAATAAGAACACAATACGATCAGGCTACTCTTAATGCTGCATCCCGTCCGATGAGCTATCAAGAAATCTGTTGTAGTGTTCCTCTGAAGACCGACCAAACGTCGGAGCTGGCAGCTGTTACTTGTTACATATGCACCTAGAGAGGAAGTTGTTTTTCGAGCGCCGAAGACAGGCCACCCAATGCCAGCATTCCCTCACTCGAGAAATGTAATAACAAAAAAGCGAGTCGGTTCCCCCACTCGTTATCGAAAACCGTACAGCCTCTAAAAACTGATTTAATCTATATATATTTATCTTATTCATATCTCTAATTATGTCACTCCAACAAATATATTATTTCATTCAAACAAGGCACAAAATCACTATACTTTTTTCCTGTATATGTAAACGAGACTATGAATGCAGACACTGACCCATGAGCTAGCTACCTAAGTATCCTCTGCGACTTGGCGCATGGTGAGGGTAGTACATGATGTCTGGTGGGATATCCGTCTTGTTGCCTTCAGCCTGACGTACGGCGGCTTAACCTATGGTCTCCCCAATGGCATGTCTTTTTTTTTCTCTGTTCCGGTCACTGCTCTGTTTTCCTTCCTTTCTCTTTCTTTTCAACCTCCCTGTGTCTGGTGGCGGGAAGATACCACCTATTTGACGTGTCGGCTGTCCAGGAGGAAGGGATGTACTGAACTGGGTGTATATTCTCATATAGAGAGCTCGGGTAGCCTATACTCTATAGTATATAAACGCGGGACGCAAACCACCTCGCGGGATAGCATGACGACCGCTAGAGCAGCTGTCCAATACAGCAGATCACAATGGAATATGACCCTGGGGCAAAGACCATAGAGCTACGAGTTCCGTCCATCAACAAAATGCGTTTGTACATATTACCTCTACTGCTCATGAAATGACTGGAGAGGCCTCAGTGCCATATTAATGTTGAATGTTTACACTGAATTACACCAGTTTACAAACTATAATAGATTCTTTAAATTCAAACCTTTATTTGAGCAAACATATGCAGCTAATCAATACAGAATCAATAACTAACTACTCAATAATTTGAATATACACAGAGGGAGCATCAATCCAGCAGAGACTCAATAATGTTTTATTTGATGAGAGATGATTGGATAGGCTGGTGGCCGGTGGCGCCGAACTCTAAATGACTGACCAAAGCTCGGCCATCTTGAGTTCTCCCAGGTACGGCTGACTGAGGAGACCTCCTGGAAGATAGTGCTGTGAATGCTAATCAGACCTGTTGCCCCCTGTTGTTGCCCTGTCTGCCCTTCCTTTAAGGACAAGCATGCTCCTCCTTGACAGCCTGGCGCTGTGAAAGGGGGGCCTTTGCCAGGCACATTCACAAAAAGGATCCAAAACAAAAGACCTTGGTGCTCTCATCACGGACATGAATGAAATTCAATATGTGATGAAAATGGAAACTTGAATGAATGGACTGCTTAGGAAGAGAGAGAGGAGGAAGAGGATTAAAGAAGAATAAAAGATGGAGGAGTTTTCCCGCTGGGTGAGGAGGTTCTGCTGTGGTGAGGAAGAGGAGGAAGAGGAAGAGAGACAGAGCAAAGAAGAAGAAGAGGAAGAAGAAGAAGTGGAGGAGGAGGAGGAGGTGAAGTTGGAGAATCTGAGGAAGAGCAGGAGTTCCTCTTCACTCCGACCAGCAGAGGTATTTAATTGAGCTCAGTGTTAAGGTAGTTTTGTTAAGGTGGTTTTATTAAGGTATTTTTGTTAAGGTGGTTTTGCTAAGGTGGTATTGTTAAGATAGTTTTGTTAAGGTAGTTTTGTTAAGGTGGTTTTGTTAAGGTGGTTTTATTAAGGTATTTTTGTTAAGGTGGTTTTGTTAAGGTGGTATTGTTATGATAGTTTTGTTAAGGTGGTATTGTTAAGGTGGTTTTGGGTTTGCAGTGTGGCTTTTATGTGTTTAAGGTGGAATTTCATTGATTAGAATTTAACACGGTTTTATGTGTTTTTAAGGTGGTTTTGAAAATGTTTAAGGTGGTCTTGTGTGTTTGTCTTAGCTGGATCCGGACCACTCTGGCTCGCCCCCCTCCGGGTCCCAGCCTCACTGGTTCCACACTCTGCAGGTCCGACGGCTGCGAGTGGAGCGAGGACGCAGGAACAGCGACCCGCTGGGAGGGAACCAGGACCAGAACCACTTTACCTGGGTCAGAAACCTCACCTGTCAGTCCCAGACCTGTTCCCGCTCTGACCACATGTCCTGATGTTAAACCGTGTCCTCTGCTCAGAAACCAGGTCTTCAGTTCGGAGCGGCTCATTCGTACGTGAGTCTGGAGAAACTGGGCGAGGGAGCGTACGCGTCCGTCTACAAGGGGATCAGCAGGTCCGCCTCTCCAGCAAGCAGTCTCTGTTAAGGTAGTATTGGTGCTGCAGTAGGGGATGTTGATGTTCTGTTCATGTCTCTGTTGAGGATCAACGGGCAGCTGGTGGCCCTGAAGGTGATCCGCATGAAGACGGAGGAAGGCCTCCCGTTCACCGCCATCAGGGAGGGTGAGCAGCTCCCTGTTTACAGGGCTTCTTGTTGTTGTTGTTGTTGTTGTTTACAGTGTTTTTATTCTCTATCGCCTGGTTGGCATTTTTTACAGTGACGGAATTTAGAAATTTAAGGTGGTATTGGGGGTTTTCAGGGTAGTTTTGAGGCTTTTAAGGTGGAATTAAGGTTTTATTTAAGGTGGTATTTAAGGTGGCATTGTCTGTGTGTGTGCAGCTTCTCTGCTCAAAGGTCTGAAACACGCCAACATCGTCGTCCTCCACGACATCATCCACACCAGAGAGTCTCTGACCTTCGTCTTCGAATACGTTGTGAGAACAAACAAACAAACAAACATAAATAAGTTACAGTCACATGATCTTCCTCAGAGGTTGATGATGACACACTACTGTTGGTGAACTGATGGTTCTTCTTCTGTTGTTTTTTTGGTTCTTCTTCTGGCGTTTTGTGGCTCCAGCAGACAGACCTGGCCCAGTACATGAGTCAGCACCCTGGAGGACTACACTCACACAACATCAGGGTCCGTTTATCTCAAACTCTGATTGATCATTGATCGGTTATTGATGGGCTGACTGATAGACTGATAGATAGACTGATAAAATTCAATCAATATGTAATCAATTAATACCTAAAATGATTTCACTCGAATGATCTCTAACCATAAACATCTTGTTGTTGTTGTTGTTACTGTTGTTGTTGTTGTTGTTGTTGTTGTTGTTGTTGTTGTTGTTGTTTTACTGTTGTTGTCGTTTGTTTTTGGATGTCTTGTTATGTTGTATTTTATTATACTGTTGTTTTTTTTACTGTTGTGTGTTACTGTTGTTGTCGTTGATTGTTGTTGTCATTGTCGTTGTGTTGTTGTTGTTACTGTGTTATTGTATTATTATGTTGTTTGTTAGTTACTGTGGTTGGTTGATCGTTGTTGTCGGTTGTTGTTGTTGTTTGTTGTCATTTGTCGTTGTGTTGTTTGTTGTTACTGTTGTTGTCATTTATGTTGTTGTCATTGTCGTTGTGGTTGTTGTTGTTACTGTTGTTGTTACTGTTGTTATTGTTGTTATTACTGTTGTTTGTTGTTACTGTTGTTGTTGTTGCTGTTGTTACTGTTGTCGTTGTTGTTGTTGTGGTTGTTGTTGTTGTTGTTACTGTTGTTGTTGTGGTTGTTGTTATTATGACTATTGTTGTTACTGTTGTTGTTGTTATTTTGACTGTTGTTGTT